AGTTCTACCTCTATGCTCTTTTTTGTCATTTTGTTTGTCTGATATTAGTAAATAATTATTGTTAAATGCTTGGTACAAAATTTGCATTAACTAGTTTTAAATTTAAAGAGATTTGAAGAACCTACCATGGTTTACACAATTTAAGGCATCCAAGAACGGAAATTGGCCTAAAATGAATGAAAGTTTTGTTGTAAATTTTACATATAAATATAAATATAGTTATAAATGTATAACTAAACATTATTTATTTAAATTTAATTACATTTCAGCATTTCAATTTAGAGTTAGAAAAGGATAAAGACGATTTATTAATTTTCAGTATAAATTTGTTGAATGATCAACTATCATTTTTAACAATTGATGAAAGTACAACAGAATTACAAACTGAGTTAGATGAGAAAAAGGTATTATAACTATAAATGTCTTATTAATGTATGATATTAAAATATACATAATATACAATATAATATATTATGTATTATATAAAGTTTGCTGCTAGGTAAAATTTTAAATTATTTTTTATAGGAAAAATATAAATCGAAATGCAATAATAATTAAATTTTTTTTCATAGTACTTATGATATTTATAATTAAAATACATTTCATAAAACATATATTATTAATAATTAAAAATCGAAATGCAATATTTCCTAAAAATATTTTTTTAATCTTTTTGATTTTGATTTCTAATTAGTGTATTGATATGGTTTACAAAATCATTTCTATCAATATTTATTTTATAATGTCCCCAAGCTACAAATACTATATTGCATTTAAAATTAAATTATTAATATTATAAGTTTTGTAAAAAATATTTTTGGGAAATATTGCTTTTCAATTTTTAATTATTAATAAAATACTTTTTGTGAAAAAATATTGCATTTCGATTTTTATTTTTAATAGAACTTAACTTTTTTAATAGTTAACATTTCGGAAAACACCTGTGAGGTTCCCTCCAAAATATTGTTCTCTATAAGTTTCATAATAAGTATTTTTACTCTAAAATTACTTTTTGATGCAGTTTTGTTTGTTTTCCGTGGACGTGTTTGTACCACTGAAAATGACCAGTGTAGCGTCTTCTTAAGAAATATTTTGATTATTATTGCATTTCGATTTTAATTATTAATAATTAAGTTTTGCGGAAAATATTTTTATTATTTTTGCATTTCATTAATTTTTGTGAAAAAATATTTTAATTATTATTGCATTTCATTAGTTTTGTAAAAAATATTTTAATTATTATTGCATTTCAATTTTCTGATCTTTTTGCACATTGTTTTCTTTGTGATCTTTTATTGACATAAAATTAGGTGCGCTAGGAATGGTACATTTATAATACTGACAGGTAACGTGGGAAGATGCGCAGAATCAGCATGTTCTTTCGTGGAACAGACTAAATTGTATAATCCTTGCATAGTTTTTATACTCGATAGTTAATTTAATTATATAATTTTGGAAGAATACAAAAAAGTATATTGTTTTTATATATATTTTTGTGATAGGGTCAACATCCAAGGAACAAAATAAACATTAACATAAACATTAACTTAAACTTTGAACAAAAATGATGAATATTTTATTTTATTTTTAATTATTTTTTTTTTATTGGATAACCCGCGGCAACATAGGCCATTGGGTGTGTGGAGGGAACTGTAGGTTTTTAGATTGGGTAGGTTGGTACACGAGTGTGTTTGTGGTGGCAGAATTTTTATTGGGGCACCCGTAGGTTTCTGCCATGCCCCGGGGTGGGGGATGGCGGCATTTGTTCTCCGGATACCGTGACTTGCCCGGAGAAAAATGCCGCCCAGTGGCCGAGAGTCGAACCCGCGACTGCCAGCGCCGCAGTCGACGCGTTAGACCGCTCGGCCACCTCGTCCCCCTTATTTTTATTTTATTTTATTTTATTTTATTATTAAAAAAATTTAACTAGTTGTATAGACATTTTAAAGATATTCACATATTATAGGTACTTATTATTATATTTTATACTTAAATTCTACCAAAATAATACTTGTACATTTATATAATATACAAATTGTAATATCAACAATACTTGGTATTATTCTAATTAATTATATCTGTTTAATGGATAGTATTCAATTTGAATTCAATGATATAATATCATTGTATAATAAAAACGATTCTGAGCGGAGACGGTATGGTCTATAAGACATATTATATACTTATCTATGGTATTAAATTATATGGAATTTATGAATAAATTATTCATTGCCCCTTAACATATGCAAAGTCTTATCATTGAGCATACTTCTTATTCCTTATACCATGGTAGATTGTATGGATAGGCCATAATATTTTGATTTTTCAGTTTCATACATCCCCGAATAATATTTTTAAATTACAACAAAAATCCAAGATCGTTAATATTAATTTTAATATGTAATTTCGTCCGAATTTGAATTTAAAACGTCTGTAAAAAATAACTGTACATATATTTTTTAAATTTTTTGGTTACAGTATGAACTATTTATGAGAACCTTAAGATATTTTAGATTATTTAGATATTAGACGTAGATTATTTAGGTTCAATTAATTTTAATGCTATGCCACTTGAGCTGAAAAAGAATATTGTAAATAATGTATATAAAAATGATTATGTATTTAAGAAAAAAACTATTGTAAACTGGTTGTTACTGAATCTTTAACTGTTAATTGTATACTATTATGAATTAAGTTATATAAATATTGTAATTAAATGTATTTTATAGTTTTTATTTGTAAACTAACAACTCATTTACTTCGTCACAAGCTCTGCTCAATGGGGTAAATTAAATAACTAATGTATTTATTGTAACTATATTATTTATTCAATAGAAAAAAAAAATTAGTATAAGTTAACTAGGTATTAAATAAATATAATTGATTTTTAATTTTTCTAGGATATCCCATCGGCTTGTTTTTGTAATACATTCAAAACTATTATTTTAATAACGTGGAAAATAATAACGTGTTAGTGCGTTACTTCTTTGAAATTACTTTTCACAAGTAATTTTGTTACAATTTCTTTACTTTATGTAAAATGTAAAGAAATGGCGGTATCCACTATGTATTTATAGGTACAACTATTTTTTGGCACTTATCTTAGTAAGTACCTACTATCATAATATTTTGCTGTTATATTGTATGACTTTATATTATAATATATTATGTACCAATTTATTTAATGTCATATGATATTTATGATAATTTAAATTATTTAGTAATTATAATAGCACATTTATAATGGTGCGTCACTGTATTATGAGTTATGACTTATAAGTTATAAGTAGTATACCGTGTGTTCTCCAATTTAGGGAACACTGAATTTCTCGGCTGGATTATGTTGGAATAAATCGAATTTTTTTTACAAGCTTGTGGTATATAAATACACATTTTCAGATAAATTTCAAATTTTTAAACCCTTCGGTACGCGCATGCGCAATGCAACTTACTTTTTTTTCATAGAAACAGGTAGTTTTGATACCAAATTCGGATAGACTGACCATGTCTCTAAAACCAAAATTGACTGAATGAGAGCCATTCAAATTTCAATAAATAATACACTTTTACAATTCACTATAAAATGCATAAAACCATTTATAATTATTTATTATTGGTTACGTTTTGAATATCTTTACGTATTTTTTTTTTTTATACGTGTTAGAAATAAGTTTAACATAATATGGATATAAAATTATTTTATCAAAATTGATTACAACAGTTATTTTATAACTACACAATTAATGAAATAAATTGTTCAAAGTTTGCTCCGTGATTGTCGACACATAATTGAAAACGTTGTAGACATCCTCTATTAGTTGCCGACATTATTTGACTTTCAGTAAGGTTATTACTTAATCACGCAACCAAGATTTTATTTTTTAAATCTGCTAGGTTAACTGGTGGATCTGCGTAGACTACTGTTTT